ACAATATGCAATCGCGAATGAATTGAACAATGCAACCTTGAAACGAGCTCCCTACCTTCAAAGCACGAGGCAGGAGGCTTCACCGCTTCGCCACGGAAATCAACTTCCTGTCCTTGTTACAAAAATGTAGAAACTTTTTGTATATTACTTACTGTGACCTGACTGGAATGTCTAGGCACATAGTAAATCTGTGAAATAATTTTTTTTTATCAAGCTTTTAATCAAGCTTAAGAGTAGGTGATTTATCCGATTGTAACAACTGGAGAGGCATCACCCTGCTTTCGATACTAGGGAAACTATTTTGTAGTATGCTACTAGAAAGATTGAAAAAATCCATAGATGAAAGATTAAGGGAAGAACAAGCCGGTTTTTAGATCCAAGCGGTCATATGCAAGACCACATCTTTTTTTTTACTCTTAGAATAATTGTTGAAGATTCTACAGAATTCCAGTCGAAATTATTGATCAACTTTGTCGACTTTCAAAAAGCCTTCGACAGTATCCATCGTCCAACACTCTGGAAATTGCTTAACATCTATGGTTTCCCCATCAAATATATCAACATCATAAAATCTTTTTATAATGAAACACGATGCTGTGTAAGAACTGATTCCGGCAATTCTGACTGGTTCCCGGTGGAAACAGGAGTGAAGGAAGGCTGTGTCCTATTGCCGATGCTTTTTGGTATAGCAATCGACTGTGTCATGCGCAAGTGCATAAATAACGCAAATTTAGGCATTACATGGGTTGACAAAATTCTGCAAGACCTAGACTTCGCCGACGACATAGCACTCCTGAGTTCAGAACACACAGACGCCCAAGAAAAAAAATCAATCGAACTCCAGAAATTCTCAGAACAAAATTGGACTCCCAAATTAACACCGCAAAAACAAAAATTCTAGACTTTACCAACAGTTCAGTTGATATCACGCTGAACAACAACAGCCTTGAAAAAGTCAACAGTTTCACTTATCTAGGGAGCAAGATGTCATCTTCAGGAGATACCGCACCAGAAATACCATTTAGAATAGCACTGGCATCTAGTGCCTTTAATAAACTGTCCAACATCTGGAAATCAAAGACACTTAGCAAACACACAAAACTCAAGATCTTCAATTCTTGTGTGATTCCAGTACTAACCTATGGATGCGAGAGCTGAAAATCAACGAAAACTCTAGACACAAAATTAGACAGTTTTGAAAATAAATGCCTTAGAAGAATACTAAATTTCAAATGGTCAGATTTCCGAACAAATACACAAATAAGGCAAGAATCAGGCAAGAGTATGTGCCTAATTTTATACGAAAACGCCGCTGGAACTATGTCGGCCACGCCCTTAGAATGGATAAATCAAGACTTCCTTACCAAGCCCTCATTTGGACACCACAGGGGAAAAAATCTCGTGGAAGACCAAGGGAAACCCTACGTAGAACTATCATCAGGGAAGGCTCGCTCATGGGCCACTCAAACATCCAAGACCTACAACGGATTGCAACGAACCGCCATGCATGGAGAGTCATGACCTCTGCCCTATGTGCCGCACTCGACACAAGAGGAAAGACTAACTAACTAAGCTTAAGAGTATTTTTCAAACAAATGTTGCATCACTACTCATATGCTACTCATAGATAATAATATCTTGATCTGAAAACGGGACATAGGTTAGCTGCGTATCCTTTACAGGGCGTTGCAGAACCAACCCCAGCAGCTCCGGTTGTTGTGTGGTTTCTCTAGGCAAATTTACATCCAGTAGTTTGCCTTTGCTTTCTGCACGGTCGGCCCCCTGATAATACTGTCGAAACCAACGCAAGGCGCATGGCCCGCAGTTGGGATCGAACCCGGTACCCCGGCATTACGAAGCGTTCGCTTCGACTTAGCCATAGGACCGACAAACGGGACATACCACTACAATTTTGAGCTGAAAACACAATCGTCGCCAAAAAAAATACAAGATATATATACTGTTTTAACCGCAATGAAAAAACATGCTACACTCAAAATGAGCATTAACCCATTTAAGGTATTAAAATATCTAAACTTATGAAATCTGGTAAGGTATACAGATATGAGAGGGAACTACCACATTATTATTACAAAGAACTCATTCTGTAAGCCAAAAACTAACAAAGAAGAGGAGAAATACTGACATTTTAAAAGATCTGAACATCAAGGAAGATTGGCTAATAAACAGCATCTTGTCTTGAAAGCTTAAATATTTTGGTCAAATAAAATGCCTTGTGGATTGGAAAGAAATAATATCAGAAGGCATGGTACCAGGAAGGAGAGGCAGGGGTCGACCAACACGAAAATAGGCCCAGGATATGAGTGAATTCCTGAATATGAAAGAACACAAGGCAGTAGAAGTGGCGAGAAACCGAGTTTTTTTTTCAGGCAGACTGTGATGAGTGCGACGTTGTGCAAAGTACCTGCATCTTGATGAGAATATAGATATAACCATCTATGTATTTTCTATGCCCGGGCTTATGCCAAGATTTGTATAAAAGGGACCTTATTGCAGTACCGTGGTTGGCATATTTATTGGATTTTACATCTAAGCTGTGATAACTGAACATGTCTGCCAAACACATCCGATTTTAGCAAATCCTAACTAGTCGCCTCTTACGACATGCTTATTAATAAGCAGTTGTCTATTGTTTTCTCCACCCGAATAAAGGAAAAGAACAGAAAAATAAAAAAGGGTCTGGGAATCCGCATGAGATGAGACGCATAATACAGGCAATGACACGCGCCCTATGTGTTCCGAAATGTGCACATTTCTTTCCATAAAATATGAGCTTTAAAATTTAGTCTCTGCATGAGCACAAGTAATGTAATTTTAACAGGTTTCTTTAGACGGGGAAACATATTTGTGGCTCCATACCAGAGGCGCCATCTTATTTTAAAAGTGAGAGAGATTATTTTTACGATCGTTTATGATAGCACTTCGAGTTTCCCAGTCCCTATTTTAAGGATCTACTGGTGCATATCGTTGTGAATGTCTGACTGCTGTCTGTCTGCTTGTCTGTATGTCTGCCTATTGTATCAGAGCATTTATGTCTGTCTTTCTATTCGTGTTTCTGTGTTGTATGTCTGTCTGTCTGTCTGTCTGTCTGTCTGTCTGTCTGTCTGTCTGTCTGTCTGTCTGTCTGTCTGTCTGTCTGTCTGTCTGTCTGTCTGTCTGTCTGTCTGTCTGTCTGTCTGTCTGTCTGTCTGTCTGTCTGTCTGTCTGTCTGTCTGTATGTATGTATGTATGTATGTATGTATGTATGTATGTATGTATATATGTATGTATGTATGTATGTATGTATGTATGTATGTATGTATGTATGTGAGTCTATGTATGTGTGTCTATGTATGAGTGTCTATGTATGTGTGTCTATGTATGTCTGTCTATGTATGTGTGTGTATGTATGTATGTGTGTGTGTATGTATGAATACATGAGTAACTTTCTGATTCTAACAAGAATGGTTATTGAATTCTGTTGCTGTTCAAAGCTAGGCTGCGATAACCGCACTTTTGACACTGGTCATGTGGTTATCTTTACTTCTGTCGTATTTTTGCTACTCATAAAATTTTGCTTGCAGCCACTTTAGGTTGGGTTAATATGGGATTGAAATTAAAATTATTAGTCTCTGTGGCTTCTGTTGATAATGTTCCTAGTGTGTTTAATAGGGCTCCATTGAGCATGTGGGGGTTGGGGAAAGCGGGAGGGGGGGGGGGGGGGCGACGTGGTGGTGGAGAGATAGATTCACGGGCAGTTAAAAAGCATGTTGAAAAGTTATGTAATTAGGGATATTTTCTTCGAGATCGGAGAATAACTGCGTAATCGGCGATGAACTAACAGTGTCTATACAAAAGAGACAAATCTATAACACGGATGCGCACGCAAAACTCAAGACTTGGAAAAAGATGAAAGTCCAGAAGTGGACGAAAATCCAGAACATTTAGCTAGAGATTGTAGCCGGCGGATGCGATAAAAAAGAACAGAAGTGGATAAAATCTGCTGTAGAAACGTTAGCTTGTGTTTTGGGCGTATGTTTTCATTTCCTTTAGTTTGTTGGTCCCGGTCAAAGTTTATGATATGTTAATTAATGTCTTGAAATCTCCCTTTTATACGCCAATAAACAGAATGATCCAGCAATAAATGTTGCTCTCTTTTATACATCTATATTTGTTATGATGTGAAACAGTATTTTAGGGAAAGATGCTATCGTTGTAATAAATGTATTTATTGCAATGAACCATAGCTACATTCGCATATGTGAATGAATATACGGAGGGTATATTATAGAAAATTAAAAATCATTAGTATCGTGACCATGTATTTCTACTGGGAAAGATGAAAATAATGCACTTCTATGACTCTGTTGGTCTCATTTTATTATTATTAATTTATAGCCCCCCTTTCACAGTGCACCTAAGGCTACGTATTTTATAGTGTTCGTTTCACAGTGCACCTAAGGCTACGTATTTTATAGTGTTCGTTTCACAGTGCACCTAAGGCTACGTATTTTATAGTGTTCGTTTCACAGTGCACCTAAGGCTACGTATTTTATAGTGTTCGTTTCACAGTGCACCTAAGGCTATGTATTTTATAGTGTTCGTTTCACAGTGCACCTAAGGCTACGTATTTTATAGTGTTCGTTTCACAGTGCACCTAAGGCTACGTATTTTATAGTGTTCGTTTCACAGTGCACCTAAGGCTACGTATTTTATAGTGTCCCTTTCACAGTGTACCTAAGGCTACGTATTTTATAGCGCCCCTTTCACAGTGCGCCTAAGGCTACATATTTTATAGTGTCCCTTTCACAGTGCACCTAAGGCTACGACAGCCCCTGGATCGTTTAACACCTCTGGAAGAGGGAGTGGGGGCGTATAACAAATAGTGACAATGATAATCTAATCTCTGATACCTCTTAGTTTCGTTGTTTTCATACGAGCTGCTTCCAAAACGCTTGCATGAACTTCTGAAGTAATTAATATTTGCGTAGAACACTTACCTTCAAATCTCTGCGTCTTTATAGTTTTACAGCTTACATCCGACATCACAGCCCACAAGAAATATAGAAATATACATTCCGTTAGTTTGACGAGTATAGCTGAAACAAAGTTTCTCAAGTACGGCATTAATTGAATCAT